ACAATTAACAAGGCAATTGTACATGCACAATTAACATTAAAATGCTGAGATCTATAAATTAAAATTTCATTTTCTTTTTCTTTAAGATTAAAGAAAAAGAAAATGTCATTTTCTTTTTCTTTAATCAAAGAAAAAGAAAATGAAACTTTAATTTATAGATCCAGCATTTTAATGCTATAGCATTGAATTGTCATGGTAAATTTGGGGCATCTTTTGGTCCTCTTTGACTATTATTATTGAAATGTCTCCAATTGTTACTGCTTTTATTTTATTTATCTGCTGGGTTAGGACGGGGATCAAGATTTGACACTGACAGATTTAATCCAAAAGTCAAAAAGTCAAGATGGCGGCTGCAGGGTAGAAGCCCCGCCCCTTTTAGCATTTTATGTGTGACACATAAAGGGGGCGGGGCTTCAATTAGACCGTTGCCACCGCCATCTTAACTTTTTTGACTCCCCCGAGGACGTCCCAGATGAGAACTGGGCGGAAAAAAAATAAAAAGAAATCCAGTGGAGTTGGGTGGCTAATAAATTCAAATAAAGAAAGAAAATTTGAAATAGGCTTATTGTTTTCAAAACATGGGAAAAAAACATTCCTCCCATCCAGAAAGTAAAAATAGACAATCCCAGTCTTTTCTGCTTCGTATCATTTTGGACTTCTCTTATGCATCTCTCTTAAAATTAACCTCCTCTTTTTATTTCTTACGTCCATTCGGAAGCCTAGCATTAAAAGGCAACTTAAAAAAACATAATCGAAATAAAACAAAGATGGGGAAATGATTGATCAGTGAAAGCAGATGATTTATTGATGCGTAGCAACACTGAAGGGCCCACAGCATTTTAGGAAAAAAGGCCCTCTTACGGGAAAATATCTTAGAAACAAAGGCAAAGACATTTTAAGAGCATTTTAGAGAATGCACACATTTTTTTAAACACACACAAACCCAGACAGACGGCAGGTTGATCATCAGTTATTAAAATCCTGATTTGCTGGACTGTCGACATGCTGTTAGGAAAAAATCCTTCTAAAAAAGTATTTTTAAACTGGTCCCTAGATAACACAACTGAGAAACGGTTGCTTGCGTGTTCTGTCTTGTTAGAGAGTTTGCAATCCCTTAAAAAAAAAAAAAAGCTTAGGACTGTGTACAGTATCTTATAAAACCACAAAGAAAGAAAAAGAAAGAAAAACAGAAAGAAAGCCACACATGTAAACGTTGGACTTACATGAGTACCGTTTTTACATACGTCAATTCTCCATTCTTTGATCTTTGGAGTTTCTTTTCTACAAACCTTTTTTTCAGCAAAATTGCAGAAAAGATCAACCTGGCCCACCAGGACAACTCGTTTGGTACACGAGCTCTGGATATATCTTTCCTCCCTCAAATTCCTCTCCTTGTCCATGACTAGTGCCTAAATCCAGCATTTGCAGATAGATTTGAAGAATTGGCAATTACTGGCCCTGTTTTGGCTACTCCATGTTTTTCAGAATGGGGGAAACAATATGGAGTATCCAAATTTAAGCTGGTCCCGTTGCATCTTTCTGTCCATCAAATGGAGGCCGGGCGTTTCTGACCGATTAGGAGGCCTCGAAAACAATTTTTTCCCATTTCCAAAAACAGCTTGTAAAATAATCCAGCTGATGCAAGGGATAGGAGAGTGAATTTCGCCCTCGGGCCAGATTGAGGGGTACATGTGCTGGGAGGTATGATTTTAGGGTAATCTAGTTCAGGGCTTTTCAAACTGTGTAGTTCCGTGAGAAACTTTAAAAAAGGGGAAAAAATCACTCGAACGCAGCCCATTTTCTATCACTAGAGTTTTCCCACTTCATCAGAGCTTCTGGAAATTTTTCTTTTTTTTAGGTATCGAGGCCTGAAAAAGTTTGAAACCCTCTGATCCCTTTCAACCCGCCCCAGACGCTACGTTTGATCTTTGAATTAATACTGCTATTTTTCACGTGTGCTACTGTTTTTAGAGAAAGTCTTTTTCTTTTTTTTTAAAAAAAGGTTGCTAAGATAGCCAGTCAAATCTTAGCAGTACTTTGTCGTTCAGGGTTGCTCTTGAAAGATCAGTGCATTTTGTATACGTTACGTTTAATCTTCTCTGAATGCTTGTGGGCAGCCTTGAAGCAAACAGAATTTTACTCGCATTGAATTTGCTGCTGAGCTCTTAGCTCTTTCACGAGAAAAACACAGGTTGAGGTCTGGGCTTTAGATTAAAAGCTGATTGCGTGCAATTTTTCCAGGCTTGGCGAGGGAAAACGTTCGCTCCTTAGGGGTGTGCCAAGCAGGCAAAAATCCAACAGGAACGGTCAGTTTAAATTGGAGTTGCGATTCGCTTTAATTTGGACGCCTCCCTCGATTTGGAAAACAGACCCGATTCGGATGTCCCCACCGAGCGGTTGATTTAGACTTCTGAACTGATTCAGAAATGCCCGTTTCTGCATCCTCCAAATCAAAGAAGAGGCCATACAATCGTTCGCCAGTCCTTTAAACATCACCCCAATGGCTTTTTGACACATGGTTTCCATGCACAGGGCTAATGTTTAAAGGATAGCAAGTCTGTTTGGACTTCACAGATCGCCCAAGGATCAAAACGATCTGAGAATCCGCCAAGACTGATCATTTCTTCAAGGAGGTTGGCCCGCTCCCATGGGAGCGTCAGCCACGGGGGGTCAGTTCAGGGGAAAAGTAGGGTGATGTTTAAGGACTCTCATGCTCCGGTTGTGAGAGAACATCGTTGACCTCTCGGTTTTGCAGAGCACAGCTAATCTTCTGCCCCCTTTCCAGCACGAGGCATTGAAAGTCCTGATACGTCACCCCTAAAGAGCGAAAGGCTGACCTGAATCCTTGCCCACGGGGTTGTGGAGATGTTTGGATGAAGAAGAAAAGTTGTCCACGATTTCTTGCCCCCCCTCCCCCTCCCCCAAGGTGGCCCCCGTCCCCGGCTCATATCAAAAGACCTTCCCTGCTCGAAGACCGCATCATGAGTACCGTCCCCTTGTACTGCCTGCCGTTCCCATCCTTCCAGCGAAGCCCGGTGGGATCGGAGCTGGCGGAAGTGTAATTATGTGGCTCGGAGTAGATGTGAGACCGAGAGCCCTTGGTGCTGTCGCCTTTGATCTGTTCGGGGCAGGGGTCTGGGTCAGGGTATGTGGTGCTCCCTTTTGGGGGGTAGTAGGGTTCCGAGATGTCCCCTTGTTCCGAATTGGGAGGAGAGGGGATTTCAAGAGGCAGGACGACGCTCACGTCGCTGTCCGGCGGAGAGCTCATCTTGACTTGGACGATGGGAGGGGTGAACTTGCGGCCTGGGGTGTACTGGACGCCCTTCGTTTGATAGCCAAGCAAGGAGTGGAGGCTGCTGGCTCGGCTGAACGCCTGGCTGCACGGTCTGCTTGGGGGAGCTTCAGCATCCACACTGGAGCGGGAAGGAGCAGGATCAGTCCAGGGAGGGAAAGGAGCAGAAAAAGGAGCATGATCAGTCCAGGGAGAAAAAGGACCCGGATCAGCTCAAGGAGGGAAAGGATCATGATCACTCCAGGGAGGGAAAGGACCATGATCAGTCCAGGAAGAGAAAAGTAGCAGAAAAAGGACCATGGGAGGGAAAAGAAGCAGAAAGAGGACAATGATCAGCCCAAGGAGAGAAAAGAGCTCAAAAAAGGAGCACAATCAGTTCAGGGAGAGTAGAAGCATGTGAGAACTGCCACAAAATATTGCAGAATAGTATGTTCTCAGGTTCCAACCAGCGACCTGTACCTCCTTTTCGGATGCTCCATGATATACCTTGTCTCCCTATCCCCACCAACTGATGCTCGGCCTCTATACCCACTGGGTAAGACTGGGGAATTCTGGGAGTTGAAGTCCACTCCTCTTAAAGTGGCCAAGGTTGAGAAGCACTGTAATAAAGGCACCGTAAGAATATAAAAAGCACCGAATTGGGTTGGATTCAGATTCCAGCTAAAACTCAGTATCTGATCTTCCCCAGGACATCTTGACCCCAGGTTTCACCATCTCAGGCAGCAGTGAGTTCCACGGATCTAATTCCTGCAGGGAGAAAACTTGGCTCCTATCATCCTGCTTGGTTGCCTTCGCTGTTTTCGGAAGTGACACAGCTTTAAATACAAGTATGTTCTGGGGAAGGCTCCTCCCTCACTCTACCTGCGCATTTGTGCCAAAATATAATATCCGTCATGGCTAGGAAAATAAACAGTGCACCTCGCCACGCATTCATTATTCTCTCTGAACAGGGAAATGTAATTTTCTTAATGGTTCCCTTTCTGCAGCACACAAGGGCTGCAGCGAAACGTGAACCGTAATTTAGGAATTTGTACTCTGCTCTTCCTCGGCTCCGGGCAACCCAAATTTAATTATAGGATTCCTATTATTCGTTTGTTTATTCCACCATCTCCTTGCTAGACTTTTGTATGCCAATCAACTCTGGAGGTCTTTCCTTATTTTTTTTAAAAGTCGCTCCGGATCCTTATTCTCCGTTCATGTTTTCATTTTTCCCCAGTGCTGTCATTTTTCTCCCTTCCTTCCTGTCTTTGGGAATTCTTCCTTCCAACAGGAAAGTCGGGGGCCAGGTGCCCACTTGGTAAGAAGCAAGAGGGATGCTTTGCCCGGGTTGGCACACCCAGTTGAGCCCAGTTGAGCCCAGTTGAAATATGCTAGGCCGGGCTTCAGGGGGTCCTTTGCGATGCATCTCTCATCCTGGCCGGTGATCTGAATTCGGTCAGGCATTAAGCCAGACCAGGGTTTATTTCTCGGGCTGGCGCATTTCTGCTTTGTGAACAGCAGCGCTGAGGCTGGAGCTCAGTGTGGGGCGATGCGCCAATACGCCCTGTGGAGGCCGTTTGTCTCAGCCCAGTCCCTGCCCAAGGGGGGGGTACAACTCCCATTGGCAAGGCTGCTCAGGAAGGATGAGAAGAGGTTTGGGGGGCAGGCAGAAAAGACCCCCGTGCCTCCTCGGCCACCTCACACCCAGAAAGCGAGCTCCAAAGCGGCACTCCCCAAAGTAAATTGAGCTGAAGGAGGAGAGAAAAAAATGGAGGGAGGGAGAGGGAACAGGAAG